ATGTTGTTGGATTTTCCTCCATATACACCGGGTGTAATGGAAAAAGCAACCTTTCCATTCTGCTTGGGGGAAGACAGCTGCAGAGGTATTCCGTGCAGCGATCTCATAGTCCATCTGAAAGATAAACAAAGTTGATTCTTAATTCATTTTATAAATAAGCACTTTACAACACTCTACTGCTATGGAGAAATTGTTAGAATTTTTCACAAAATCTGTTATATGGTACTATTACCTGAATCTTTTGCGGTTGCATCAAATAGTAGGGGTGTCACGATACACCAATCTCACGATACGATACGTATCACGATTTTAAGGTCACGATACGATACGTATCGCGATACATAATTTTCGCGCCTTTTCATAGCATTACCTTACCGGCAACGTACGCGCTCGCTGATTGGTCCATCAAAATAGTCTAGCCAATCACAAAAGCTGTTAGTTTCCAACCTATTTTTTTAAGTATAGCTAGCTACATCTATTTATCGGAGCGGTCTCGTATAATTTTACTATCAAGACTTTGAAGGAGATGGATATAGCATAAAAATTTGAATCGATAAAGTTTTAAAATAGGAATCGATACACGCAAGCATGTATCGCGTATCGTATCGTCAGTAAAAATGTATCGATGCATCGATACATTCGCGTATCGCGACACCCCTATCAAATAGCCTCTCGTCACGCAGGCATCGCACAAAAGTCTGAACATTCTCGTGTATGTTTCCTCTCTCTTGTCTGGTGAAAAGAAAAACACGAGGGGAAACATGTGTCCATCAATCATGGCATGGATCGTGTACAGATGGTGAAAAATGCCAGGTGTCACGTAGAATGTTCCTTCGCAAAAGATCGTTTCAGCCTCACTTAGATGTTGAAGGTTGTCTGGTGTTGTAAAGCCGAGGATGCGTTTCACCTTCGTCACTATGTCATTGACGGTTGACGCAGTGGAGTAACAGTTCTTTTTCTGTGCACGTCCATGATAACAACACCCACTAGCGGATTAGCGTGACTCTAACAACACCTTCGACATCAAAGTCAGCCGCAGGTCGACTTCGTGTCCATAGCGAAATTTCAAAAGGTCGACTTCGTGTCCATAAACCGAATTCCCTATCACTAATAGGGGCACCTTATCAGTTCCAGTCTGATTAGCACAGACCGTGATTTCCGTAAAACCTCTAATCTGCCTTTTGAACTCACCCGTCAAAAGGTGGCGGAAAGGTGTGAGCCGCGCTGGTTTGTTAATTGGATCAGTTTGCTGCACCAATCATCTTCTCATTGACTGACTTCGGCTTATGTATACAAGATTGCTGTTGTTTGATTCGTATGGGACCAAATTTCCTTCTCGAGTCATCGTGTGTATTTATGAGACGAATTCGTGTAACCGGTATTCAAATGATGACAACTATAACAGGGAATGGTATACACACACACAAAGTCAGTTTTGCATGAATACAGTTTTAAATGCTTCGTACCTTAAACATTTGTCAATTGTGCGTTAGCTTTAACCTATTGAAGTAGCTAAACATGACTGTGAAACACATAAATCATGACGTTAGTTTTATCGGTTCAAAATCTGGTTCGCCCCTGTTCTGTGTCTTGGTTTGACGGCACCAGGCACAATGTTACAAGTTGAATACTGTTCAGAGCGGGTTTAAACCCAACTCGCTTACTCATAGTTGCCACGTGTAATGGCCGTGAAAGGGTACTTTATATCCAAATCCTTATTTACCTCAGTATCATATTTTGTTCCTTACCTCAGAGCGAGTGAGTGAGTTCAGTTTTATGCCGCACTCTGCAATGTTCCAGCTATATGGCGGCGGTCCTCCTTAACTCAGAGGTACATGATACTAGTAATTAGATGGCATGTTCGGCACGAACAAGGAACATGCATTAACATTACAGACCACTGATCTGTGCCACATGTACAGATGTATATTTAATACCAGAAATCAAGCTTCTGTCCACTGAAGGGAATCACTTCGCTCGGGACAAGCAAACTTGATTCAAGCCCTCAAGAACTATTTATATTTATCTATTTGGTAACACATGCCAGTTGATGTTTCTCAATAGCCGTTAAGCGCTTCAAACAATAGTTGGACATAATATGGAGATGGAGCGTTGACCATTTACAAGCTTCAAAATTGTTAAAGAGACATATAATTTGCATTCCAATTTGTGACATTGTCAATTACTGCGACAAAAAAAAAGTGTACAATCATATATAACCAAACCAGAGTCCTTTATGCGATTCAGACTAAATCATTAATATGTGTTTATAAATGGGAATGAAATAGTGACGATGCTTAACTGGCAACTGAGAACACACAGGAACATATGGCCCACTGTGCTTGTTAAGGAACTGTATCGTATTTGTCACTGATGTGTCATGTTTGGAAATGTCCTGAATATGTCTACAAAACAGAAGCAAGAGTTTTTCAGAACTTCATTCCTACAACTCCTCTCAGAATAACTCTTCAGAATAACTGATGAAGACTAAAGCCACATA